CCTTGACCAGCACCAAGATGGCCAAGGGCGAAATGCTTCGGCCGGATGTCAAGCTAGTATCCTGACAAGGACTTCGCAGCCCCGGACTCCCTCGTGATGCTAAAGAATCGACATGCCGTGGATTCTTGCTATCAATAGATCGAGGGGTAGCCAACAAGCACCAACTCGTGTTTTGGATACTCTATTGAAAGGCTTTCTCCACCTGCCGCTCCCAGCACCAGACGCAATGCGATGCCCCAGATGATAACGGTACATGGCTCATCTATGTGTGCCGTTGTGACGGGTAGGCAGCTGCAGGCCTCACTATTCTCAGGTGCGAATTCAAATTTTCTGGAGGGGTGCTACGTACCATATGGGCAACCCACATGAAAGGGACAATTCGGAAGGGGTTCATACTTTCGCGAGAGCCACTCAGAATATTGTCCTGTTCGGGCTCGGCAGACGAGAAATTTCACACAATGGAGCGACAAGGTTTAGTATTTTCAGCTGCCCAGCCGCGTGCCGTTGGGCAATTTCCGTACCGAGGAAGGGAAGAAACGATGACCACAGGACGTGTCCAAGATAACGGGTTGCTCCCTGGTGCCAACTGCGCATCACCCAGTTCAACCTTGACCTGTGGTCCGCAAGATGCGATATCCGATACGATGCACAGTCACACAAACAGGGCGCGCAGGTGTCGACTGTCGCATGTGCCGGCACTAAGATGACGACAGCAGCAAAAGTGACGAATGGCTAGCAGCTGGCGTCTCTACGGCACATATTGTTCTAGCTTGGAGCCTCGAAGCCTTGTGGGGGAGAAGATATTACAACGCCCAAACGCCCAAAACATTCCTAGGAAGCCCAGCGATCAGGTTAACGCACGCCTGCGGGGCGGGGCATTGGTGCCCCTTTGGCGTGGCTAATCCTTGTGACACATCACTCGCCGTCAGACATGAAGTTGACGGCATGCCAATGATGGCTGGATTGGCGCGCGCTGGCACACCAGCACAACGCTTCTGTGTGAGACCAGGAACCCATAGCGCGACCTTGAATCCCCTCAATTGGGTCGGCGGCATGGCATTTGAACCTTGTGATGCATATACATGTAAATGAGCTATGGCTAGGCCACGAAACCGGACCGGCAAAGCGGAAGATTGCGGCAGACGAAGAGAACCACAACCCAAGTGACAAGCCTCAGCAGCGGGCACGGCACGTCGATCATCAGCAGGGTTTCACTCGAAGCCCCAGCCACTGGGTGCGCTCTCTCTCTCTCTCTCTCTCTCTCTCTCTCTCCAGTCCTCAGTTCTGACCAAATTCACCAGGAGAGACACCCCTCACATAAACTAACAACTCCGTGCTGTGACCGGCCGGACATGCACCTCGAGACGACTGCCGCGCTACGTCTACGCCCTCTTTTTCACGAGGGCAAATAGCTGTTGTTCCTTTTCGCACAGGTCTGTCTGCCTGTTTGCTCAAAGCTGCGAATGGCAATGGCCGTTGTCCATGGTTCAGCTCAGGCAGACCGAGCCCTTGGCCCTCGTTCCAGAAATCAGAGGCCACACCCCCCCCCCTCTTCTTCTGAGTTTCTGCTGCCCTTCTATCCACAAAAAACCCCCTCCTCTGCTCAAGGATCTCTTCTGTCCCCTCCCCTAGCATTCGTATCTGACTGGTCGTCGGTATCAGGCCAAAATTCTATTCCGCGCCACAGACGTAACTGCTCATCTCCTCGGATTGGTCGGCCAGCCTCAAAGCGGGCTCTTCTGTGAACCAGCGACAGATTTCCTCGGCACGAGAGAATCATCCTACGATGCGCTCTCAGAATGCGGTTCTGGTTCCCCATCAGCCTCTGGTGTGTGTGTGTGTGTGTGTGTGTGTGTGTGTGTGCACTGCATCGTTCCTGGACTAGGCCCGAGACTGCACCAGCCCCGTGCCATGGAACTGGCCATTTCACCTGTTAGACTGCCTCACACCCATTGCTTGCTTCTGATGGGGCGGGGCGGCGTGGGTTAGCTGGACCTTCTGACAGGAGACAGACTTGCGACGGTTGGCACCACCACCTCCATGTCTCGACAGTAAACATGTTCCCCGTTTGATGCAGTTGTAGTCCCAGGGCCCCATGCCTGCAAGTGAAAGGCGGGCACCTTTTTAGCCAGCTCAGTGACCAACTGCCACTTGATCCCGCTAGACGCCGTGCCCGCGAAACTCGCGGCTGCACTTGGCCTTCCAGCAACTCTGCATCATTGTCACCCTCGACGCGGACACGGACAGACATGGGCCAGGGCAGTGAGATGGCCCTTCAGAAAGAAGGGGCCGGGGAGGGGGGAGGGATGTGTGGCCCATGCCATGCCATGCAGGTCTCAGTGAGAGCTTGGGGCCCCTCCCCCTCTCTCTCAGAGAGGCCAAGGGGAGGGGGGGGTGATTTTCGTGTTCGCGGTGAAAATCGGTCCCAGACGAGCCCGCACGTCCCGTCTGATGGGCAGACAGGCGTGATGCACAGAAAACCTTGCTGTACGTGGAGCTGAAGGGAAAGCACGGCACAACGCGGTGCTGTGCGTTTACGTTCGCGCTCTACTTGGTTCCGCTTCCTTGTTTCTCAGCAGAACCACCAGTGCAGACTGTTCGCTGTCGCTGGGAGGACTGGACTGCATCTGCCCGAACCGTCCTGGCGCCTGACCTCGGTTGATTCCGATGATTTTCGGATGGGCCAGGGTTGGTTGACAGACGCATGGCTCCACCACGAAGGATAGCATTTCGTACGTGGTGTACGATACCAGGCGCAGAAGGTCAGCGCAAAGGAAACAAGCGACCTGGCCCGCTCGGACTGCTCGCCGGGACAGGCTTTACCCATACGAGTCGAAGGTTTTGGCGGACGGTGGGAAGAAGCACTTGGTACATGTGCCAACCTCCCTGAGCTGAAAGACGTGCCTACAGTACATCGAGTACGAGTGTGACGTGACATGAGCGCAGGGTGGGCAGAAAAAAGCCCATTGCTCATCACGATGTGCTCCAGATTGGACGCAGATAGATTTACGTGTTTGGGAGCTGAGAAGCGAGCTTCATCAGAGGACACGGCAGGGGTTCGCTCGCACAGTTACTCTTTGGACCGCTGCTGGAGAGATTGGAGACTGGGGACTTGAGGGAGCCAGAGATGGAAGAGGGCACAGCGATCGCCGCAAAGGGCAGTGCATCTGCGAACGACGGCAGAAGCAAGCAGTGAACGCGCCCATTCCTAGCGAACCAGCGAAAGCGAAAGAGTGTGAAGGGGGAAAAGCCCACAAGAAGCACCCAGCGCCGCTCCGTCACCCTTGTGCGACGCGACAGCGGTAACCCGTCGACCTGGTCTGCGCCGGGCTGCGTTGGCTCGCCTGGACAGCACCGCCGGAGGTAGCTCTTATGGCGGACAGACGAACCGGCAAAACGTGCGTCTCTGCCGTCTGGTCACATATCACAAACCCGCCATCTGCGTCCCTCGTTTTGGTGTCTCTCGCATGCCGGATCACCAACCAGACTAGAACCTGTCTGTTTTTTTTTTTGCCTCTCTGCTTCCCGCAAATCGCTGACTTGCCGAAGAACGGGCTCGCTCTCGCCAACTTTATTTCCCCCTCT